TTGTAATTTACAACTTTTCTTAATACCATATCAGACAAGTGTAATATTATAAAATGTATGCCAATTCATCCATATTTCTTTTTCTTCAGTAGTCAAGTTTATAGGAAAAGAGTCATCAATAGCTTTAAAAACCTTTTGTTGAACAAGAATATCTTTCATTTTTTGTTCCAAAATGAAAAATCTCCTTTATCGTTAAAGATACCCAACTCAAAGTGATTTGTTGACATTTTACTAAAAAATGCGCAGAACACAAATTCAGATATGTAAAATTCACAGGTTACACAGATTACATAAAGTAACAAGATTCCTATGGTTTAATAATAATATAGTATTCTGGAACCTCAGGGTTTCGTGAAAATCGAGTTCTCAGATCAAGGGAAGAACTAGAATAGGAGTTTGGGTACAAATAAAAAATAATACGAGATTAAATAACGCAACGACATTCAACAAATTAATCTAAAGACGAATAAATAATTTCACTTAGAAAATTAAACAGATAATGGCAAGTAATCCTAGATTCTATCAACAAGCAATGGTTGCCAAGCAATGACAACCCTCAATCCTAATAATTACCCCACACGATGATCTACTAGTTCGATAATGTAAAGTTTCAGCCAATTTACTAGAGCGGACTTGTCTGAATCCGTAAATTATGAGAGATGTGAATTTACTGCTTTAAGACCACAATTTTGGCCTAAAGTAATTCAGTAAATATGTGGCAATTTCAACTGTTGATCCACCAAGGGCAATATCATCCATCTTTTTCTGTGTAACCTGAAATAGAAAACTTTCAACACGAAAAATGTCAGGAATAATACGAGGAGCAAACTGTCTGAAGACAACTCCTCGAAATTCGAGCCCACGAGCCCTCACATGCCACCGTCGGAGTTGCCACGCACCACCGTCGTGAACACGCGCCACACACCCAACACTGCCTCTACCTGCACGTCTCAACCCCGATCTCTGTTTCACCAATGGACTTTTGAATCACCGAGAAATCGCTTTTGTAGGTTCGATTTTTATGCAAAAATCTGGGTAGTTTGATTTCTGCCGATTTTCAGTTGGATTTTGGCCGGATTTTCATCGTCACCTAAAAAATCAAATTAAACAATCAATTAGTTTAGGTTTGTAGAGATTAAAGAAAAGAAAAACAAGACCAAAAAATCATAAAATTCAAGAACGATTTCCCCCTTCTAGATTGGGCTCAGATACTTGATCCACACCACAAAGGTATCTCCAATTTGAAGGTCATTTTTAGTCACAAAGACAAGTTCACAAAGAAGGCAGAGAATGTGTCATGTTTTTGCACCAAGTAGGGAGAGTTCTTTCTTGGTTTTTCTCTCAATTTTTGATGTGTATAAAATGAAGAGGAGAGTCTCCAATTTATAGGCTTCAAGAAAGAAGCGGGTTCTCCAAAAAATCTTACAAGATTAGGATAAATCAAAACTATAAGATAAAATCAAAACTGAAAGATAGAGCCAAAAAAGGGGGATAAAATGGTTGGAAATATATAACGATAATATTTATCTATCTTTTATGTGAATTTCAAATTATCTTCAAGTTGGGTATTGAGCACCTAGTCTAATGAGCTGATTACCTCTAAATACCCAACATAATTGAGTTACTTTAATTGTGATTTGGATTTAATTCTTCAATCCTTGGTTTATAGCTTATGAAGTTATACGGGCCTCAATTTTTCATCATAACCTAGGGGATTCGGGCATCACTTACCAAAAAGTGCCCAACAATTGGGTTTGTTTAACTTGTTTCTAGAACATGGCGAATCCTCAAGCTTAATAAAACCCGCCGTTAATTTTGAGGAATTCTTTTCCTTTTCAGCTGTCCTTTTTGCAAATTTAATTTCAGTTTTCAGGCTAGGATACTTTGAGAATAATATTACAAATATTCAGTGTGAAGATCGAAGGACGATATGAGAAGGACGAAATTGACGTTTCCTAATAGTTAGAGGATTAACTCATCAACTACAGATAGTTGGATGACTAACAGGATGAAGCCAGGTAGTTGGAGGACTAAAAACAGGTTGCCTGATAGTTGAAGGACAAAATTGACTGATAGCTGGAGGATGAAATTGACGTTGCCTAGTAAATGGAGGACTAACTTGTCAATTCAAGATAGTTGGAGGACTAACATGATGTTGATTGATAACAAAAGCAGTAAATTAATGTTGCCAGATAGTTGGACTAAATTGACGATTTAGGATTAGTTGAAATAGTAAATTAACGTTTCCGGATTGTTGGAAGACTAGATTGATGTTGACTAATAGTCTGAACTAAAGAGCGTTGCTGGATAGTTGTAGTAAATTGTTGTGTATCTCACTTATGACAAACAATGTGAATACTCATATTTGACTATGTTTAAAGTTTATTTTTTATTAAATAAGTTAATAATTTATCTCGAAAACTAAATTTTGTCAATAAAGAAAATAACTTAAAAAATATAAATTCCATTTGATAGAAGAAATAGCTTGAAAGCAACTAACTTTAAGTCGAACCCCTTGACATCACCATATTTGTCATGGTAGTCTTCTCAAGTAAAAATCATGAACAAGATGAGTACTTCAAATTTTGCAAATGTCTTTCACTATTAAAAATTGTATCAAATCATTATTTTAGCACATTTAATAAAGATATTTGAATGATAATTGGATATTACTGAAACTCTAACTGGATAGTATCGTTGTATACCTCAAATTTCTTAGTGTTCATCTCCTTTGCAAGGTGATTCCCAGTCATGAGAGCCTTGGTCTATACCTTATAGTTTGTGGCTTTGAAGTCTAAGCAGAGAGTGCAATTAAGCTTGTGAACCTCTAAGCTTATTAGCACAATTCTTTTTCTTAATCCATCTTCACTAGATGAACCGTCCATAAACAACTTCTAGGCTAGGATTTTGGATGGGCTAACATGATAGTTAAGGCTAGAACATTAGCGAGTTCAACGACAAAACCAGCTATGGATTGCAAATCAAATTTCGTTTATGGAATGTTGACGAACTTAACAACAAAACCAACTCAGGATTTCAAACCAAATTCATTTAAATCTATGAGCTCTTGGCAAGTTCATGAGAGGTCATATTTTGGGTACAAGCACGTGATTGCAAATCCCAACGAGAAATGAGCCTCCTTGAAACTCATAGCCACAATTTGTCAACTTTGATTATGAAAGAATTGCTTTTCTTTTCACTCATTTGTCATCGCTTTTAAGTTTTAAATTCTAGACTTTACTTTGTGGTGAATTATCATGGCACGAAAAGTCAATCTCGGGTTGATCCCCATTATGTCAAAGTGCTTCTTTGCGAACACACCTTGGTTCGCCTCTGAGAGTTCTCTCTCCCTCTCTTCTTTCTTTTTTTTAGGTGGATCATCATTACTTAATGTCGTGGATCCCTAATTATCACCAATCGCTATTTCTTTTTGGAGACCTCGCTTAAGTCAACTCCATGGGCTCTATTTTAGTGAGCTCCACCATGATGATTGTGTGTATCCATTAGGGCTTGTGGAGCCCATTTCTTGAAGCACTTAAATAATATTCTCGAGTTACCCACGATTTCCCTTCACTTTAGTGACAATGCTCTGAGTAGGAAATTTAATGCAAAGGTGGTGCATCAATGTTATGGCTTTCAACTACTTCAATGCGGGATGTTTTAGAAATGTACCATTTTTCGTTCATAAATAAAGTTAAAATAAAAACTAAAATTAAAAAAGACTGTCGTCAATATTAGAAGCCAGAAAATTCCATTATTATCATAGTAATGCTGTTTCATACCCAAAAAAAAAATAATAATAAATAAAAATAAAATAATAATAATAATAATAAAATTAAAAAAAAATTCACATAATTAAAGTTCAGTTCCTTAATCATGCGCACGATCAAATAAAATTTCTAATTTAAAAACCAATTACAACAAAAATCAATCATCAATTTAAATCATTCAATATTTCAAAAAGGAAACACATATCCAAATGAGAACTGTAAAACATTTTATGAATCACCAACGACTAAAATGAATGATAATGATGGTCAGACTGGGAGGGGAGGGTATCAACGGAAGGAGGAATAGCATTACTATTAGTGGTGGTGGTTGTAGCGGAGGCCAAGGAGGAGGTGGAGTTGACGGACTTTAGCGTGGTGAACACCAGAGGACGATCCTTAGCCTCTTCATCGTCATCATCATCAGAGTCGTATGTAGTCAAATTTATGTACGAGCACCTATCCGACGATGCAAAAAAGGCCTTGACAACATTGGTTCCAAGCCACCGAGCGATCCCATTTGTAGTGCTTGAATTCTCCATTCGATCAATTCAAAATTTATCAAAAGAGGTGGGGTCGAGGGTTATAAGGGAGAAATTGGGGGAGCGAGGGATTCGAGAATTAAAAAAAAAAAAAAAAAATTAAAGGGAGCAAAAGAGGTTCCAAGGGCCAATTTTTGTGATTATAAGTGATGGCTTTAATTTAACCATTTACTTCAACAAAGTTTGACGTTATTGGAAAGCGAATTTCTTATTAGCTGTGTTAATTACTTGGTTCATATGGAACACGTCTTTTTTCTTAAAAGGTTGAACTCCAACCTTAAGGGTTCTCTACTGCCCCGTCCCTAAAGTATCGTGAGAGAAGTTAATCACGAAATGTGTCCCAACAGGTCAGGAAAACACTGGTGCCCACAAAGAGTCACAATTCATGTTTCAGGAATCGAACTCTCATACTGCGACTGCCAGCAAGACTGAATTTATCTCATTCTTATCTTTTGTACCATTGAAATATGCTTTGGAGGAAGAACATGTCTTTTTTCTTTTCTCTATTGTAATGTGCTCAACCTTGTACAATTCACTTTATCAAACCGAACAGTATATTTAAAATTTTTACAAATTCATTATTAATATTTTTGATTTTAGTAATAGCATCCAAAGAGTTCAATGACCATTAAAATAATTAAATCGAAAATAATCCATTTATACCAAAAAGGTGAAAAAAGATAACAAGGAATAACAGGAAAATCATTTTACCAGTCTCTGTCTCTCTCACCACTTTTTCTTGCCCCCAGCAAAAAAATTTCGCCACGTGATGCTATATGATTTTGATTATGTTTTAACGACATTACTGCCTTGGAATTGTTATAAATTTCACCAATAATCAAAGGTTTAATTGTGATCGAAGGGGCCAATTACAGTATCATCTGTTAAGAATTTTGCCTTCTGGCTTTTTGGGTAATTCTCCTCGTGAATTCGTGGGAGCACAAAAAAGGGAATTTCTAGGGTTTCCTTACAATTCTCTTTGTTTATATTTCGAATTATAAATCGGTTGATTTTTTATGTGCATAATCATGGCTGAGTGGCAACAATTCGTTCAATCGGTATTCTTTGGTGTAATTTTCTCTTTTTTACTCGCTAAATTGTTCTCTGTAATCTTCGCGTACCGCGATGAAAATCTCCGAAATGCCCGTTCTGTTTCACCGGAACCTGCATCCAAGCCCGCAGAGGAAACTGTAGCTTCGTTGTCTAGGGGTTTGGGAGAAAGCAAACCTTTGATCGTCGAAAATGAGGGATTAGCCCGTGAGAGCTCGACTGTTGGTGATCTTACCGACAGTGACGATGATTGGGAGGGTGTGGAGAGCACTGAATTGGACGAGGCATTTAGTGCTGCCACGGCATTTGTGGCGGCCACTGCAGCCGATAGCTCTGCGCAGAATGTGTCGAACGAGGTGCAGTTGCAGCTTTATGGGTTTTATAAGATTGCCACCGAGGGACCCTGTAGTGCTGCACAGCCTTCCCTGCTCAAGCCCACTGCTCGGGCCAAATGGTAATCATTGATCATTTGGAGTGGATCGAGTTAATTAACTTGTTAATAGCTGATTCCTGTTAGTTTTTCCATTTCTTGATGTTTAAATAAGAGCTTTTTCAGTGATGGTTGTTTGTTTTTGTTGGAAATAATGGGTTGATAATGATACAGTAAGCAATCCTAAGAATTGTAACGAGTTAAATTAGTTTCGACTTATATTAGCTAGTGTTGTGGTCTGCCAGCTAAATAGTTTTGATTATGATACTTCTCATTAATGAATAATGATATGTTATGATTGAGAAATAGGAAATTATTCACTATAATATCTGCAATTAAAAAAGGTCACATAATTATTTTGGTTCTTTCATTGCTTTGTTTACATCACTATCCCATGATCAATCATTAGCATAACTATTCAAAGCAAGAAAAGGAAAACTTGCTGAAATATAAGAAACGCTGTTATTTTGATTCTCTTAAAAAGAAACATTTTTAAGTAAGGAAAATTATAATATAAAGAAGTAGATTTCAGTTGATAGAATATAAGTCCTTACTGTTCCTGAACACTTATGTTTTATGCTGACCTCGTTCCAACACTTGATTATGGGCTCTTGAGCAGTTTCTTAATAGGCTATTAGTTTGGCATAAGCTGGGGCATTAGAATATCTCTAAAAAGTATTTTGTCTTTTTCCATTTTTGGTGGGGGCATGAGCTGTGTTTGGGTTTATGTTACCTTATAGGATACTATTTTTGGAACGTGATATGCAAAATTATAGCATTGAGAAGTGAGATTGGCCAGAGAAGCATAATTTTATATCCAATTTTATTGTTTGAGAAACCTTAGATGCTACTGGAGCAAAGGATCATCATCAAGGTGGTTCTATTATCAAACATTATATTATTGTTTCATGAATGTGTGTGCAATGTGATTTTTGGTTTACTTCCACTCTTCTTATGTACTGGGATGAAGATCAGGACATAAGTAGTATGGATGACGTGTGGAGACACGTGAACTGTGTTTCTTTGAGAAATTTATTTTTCCGTGGCCAAAAGATGATATATTTTAAGTCCCTGTGAAAATTCTCTATCTTTCTCTGCCTGTTTATTGCTGATAGATTCAACATACCTTGCCACTATGGGGATTAAAGTTCTTGAATAACATGCATATTACAACTGTTTTTGCGGTTACTATTTTTCCAGAAAACAAATCATGTATATGATGTGATTGGGTTAATTAATAAATTCTTATCCATCTTCAGCTTTGACAAGCATTTTTGTGGTTTATTTCCTTGTCCATTAACTTTTGATGGATAACCAATATCTTTGTGTTGGTGACCCTTGGCCAACAAGTTGAAAGATTTATTTTGATTGATATAGGCAAGCATGGCAGAAATTGGGTGCTATGCCTCCAGAAGAAGCAATGGAGAAATATATTGACATTGTTACTACGTTATATCCCTCATGGGCTATGGGATCAGGAACTGTGAGATCATAATCTTTCTTTTCAACTAAAAACTGCATTCTCCTCATCTTAACAATTGTTGTCACCATCTTTCCCTTTATGTACTGCTGGCAGAAGAGCAGAGGTGAAGAGAGCAGTGATGCACCAAATGCAGGCTCCAAGGGACCGATGGGACCTGTGTTTAGTTCCTTTATATACGAGGAGGATTCTGAAAGTGAATTGTAAAGATCTTGAACTTCCTCTGTATGTTTGAAGTTCACCATATTTGTGACTGTATTTCTTTTAAAAACACGTCTCATGCATCATTATATGTAGTTGTCTATAATCATCTAGGACTCTGTCCTTACCATCTGTATATGATGCCATAATTCAACTTTTTGTTTCTTTTACCTCAACAACTTCCAGATCACCATAAAGGGGAAAATAACTATAGATTTTTCCCCCTTTTGACGTCAGTAGGTCTTCAAAGGGGATGAGAGAAATGGAGGGAAGGAGAGAGAGAAGAGTTCTTCCAAATATCAATTCTTACATAAATGACAGTTCGTCCAAACTTTCCTTGCTGATTCAGCTTTTACTTGGAAGCTGCTTACATCACCATGATTGTTCTAATTTTTCTTTTCAAGCATAAATGAAACTGCCAGCAAGTGGGCAGAGCATGCTAAAACTGAAAGTTGTGTAGTTTCTCCTGAAAGCATTGCACACATGCCATTCTAATCAATTTCCTGCATTTCTTGTTTACATGCTTGCATGTGTATAAAAATTGCTGTCACGAGGTCTATATTATATTTGCTTAGATTGAATCGGAGCTTGCAGTAGATTGGCTAACTTTTTCAGGTCTGAAAAGTACCTGTCCAATCTACTGTTTGGTTGGATTAGAGTGCACCTATTTGTGAATTAGCATTCAACGAAATATGCAACCTTACGGTTCTTTTACCTCAATTTAATGCTTTGAAAAGGAAATTTCACTTTATATGTCATCCCCTTTCCTTTGCAGAAAATTTGATGCTATACATGCCTTTGCACGGGAAGGTGATGAAGAGAAGTTGCTTAAGTGCATTGAAAGTGGTGTTCCAGCTGATCTGAGAGGTTGGTTGACCTCAAATTTATAACATGCTCTTCTATGTTGCTTTGATGTGACTAGCGCTAAGACGCAAACATGATGTTGTTGCTAATGAAACTCCAGGGAATTTTGGGGCCTGTGAATAAACTCTTCAAACTTGTTAATTCTCTTGGAAGGAAAATCAGATTATGTAACAGAAAAGATGACCTTCTAGTACTAAAGCTCTTAAAATTTTATTGCATATAAAAAGGGAAAGAGGAATACTCCCAATTTTATTCTCGTGTTTTAATGACTGCATTCCATTTCAAGCCAGCAAAGAACTATTCTGTTGTTAACAGATATAGATATGTGCATGTGAAACAGATTATGTTTTCTGACTTGAAATATGTTCTACTCAAAATGATGCAGATAGTGAGGGTCGTACTCCTTTGCACTGGGCTGTGGATCGGGGCCATATGAATATTACAGAGTTGCTCTTGAAAAAGAATGCTGATGTTAATGCAAAGGTAGATAACAATATTTGTTGTCTGACTCCTGCTAATTTTTCTGTTGAATACAAATAAGAGAGAAAACCACCCCCAAACTAATATTCCCGCTTACTAATTTATCATTTTATTTGTGACTAAGAGAGCTAGTTTTAATTGATAAAATATAAATAACATTTATTGTGTGCCCTGCCCCTCCAATAGATAAATAGATATAATAAAAACTGATTCTTATATTTTGCTATTATGGGATTTACTATTTTCTAATCGAAATGAGGAAAATAAAAATACTGCTAGTGGACAGTCTAGGAGGATTTGTTTATTGAAGCAAGGATTAAGCTTCTTTTATTTTTAGATTTGTTGGTGTTTAAAATTCAGCTTTGGCCTGATGTTTTTAATTGAGTTACAAAATTGCTAATCTTGTTTACACTTGACATTTTACGAAATCTACTGATGATAACACCATTTATTGCGGATATGGCAAGGAACTTACTTTCTGATCAATCCAGAGATCTTCTGGTTTCCATTAGTAATAAGAATTTGGAATATCACATGTAATATGATTGATTGTTGCAGAATGGATACTTTTGGTATATAATTGTGGGAGTTGCATTTAGGTACTTCTTATGATATCCCTTAGATTCTCCCTCTTTCTTCCCTTACCCTTATTAATAATCAGTCAGAAAATAAATATTTTAGCTCAGATATTTTGAATATATACTTCTTCTTTTTTCTTTTTTTTTTTTTTTCCCCACCGCTGTTCCTGTTGGTAGGATGATGAAGGTCAAACACCGTTGCACTATGCTGTTGTTTGTGAGAGAGCTGCCATTGCTGAGTTACTAGTGAAGAACAATGCTGACACAAAGATAAAGGATAATGATGGCGACTCTCCTTGTGAACTTTGTGAGTCGAGCTGGCCTTGGATGCAACAAATTAGCACTAGCGCTGATGATTAATTCTATGTTATTATTTCTTTCTATATATTTGATACTAAGACTGATCTCTTTTGTAATAGTTTAAACTTTTAAATGTAACTATTCAGTAAAATTCAAATGAACTTTTGAGTCTAGTTGTGCATTGCATACTAATAACATTATGCATTGTCTCAAATGGTAGTAAAATCACTTCAATCTCCACAAGGATTTTAGGACACTTTTCATAGTCATTGATACCAAGAAACAAAAGGAGCACTATAACTTGAAAGCAGATTGACATGAAAAGTTAAGAATAAGCCAAAAGCAAAGATGAATGGCAATTTTTGAGCCATGCAATATTTTTTAATGAAGGTGTCCACGTGCATTTTGAGGTTTCCTTTTTGTTTCTATTTTGATGTAACATATATGCACATAGTGCATGCAGATGACTTCCTTCTTGTGGTTCATAAATCATAAGTAATTCATTAAGACGATGTTTCCTTTTCGTTTTCGTTTTAGGCTTTTTTCCCCCTATTTTAATTATTTAATGTGAGAAAAAAGTAAAGTTACTAATGTATCCTTTTAAAATTCCCTGGTTAGCTACTGGACTGAAGGATGGTTGGATTCCATCCATTTGTCCTCCAGTCTCACGCACTTGTAAGGTTTGGGACCTTGGATGCACAAATTAAAGGTCAAGGTAAAAATTGCAGAGATTTGAAAGGTTTGGGATCATAGCTGCAATCATACTAAAAGGAGTACTGCTTCCCTCTCTTCCCACTCGTAATCTTAAACTCGATGGTTTTGGCAGTATATGAGCATGTTTGGTAGAGATTTTAATTCAATTAACAACTTTTTTTTATCGTTATTTCACTATATTAGTTGTTATTTTTGAATTTTTCTCTCACGGGTAGAACCCAATTTATTTAACGGTCAAAAAATCAATTAACAAAATCCCTACCAAACGAGCACTATATAACAAGAGTATATACAATGGCCACAGCCATGAAATAAATAGGAATAAGATTTCTCTCCTAGTTTCCCACTTCTTTCTTACTCCTGTTCATACTGTCTCCGGGTAATTAATTATACCTAAGTCAAATCTAAAAAATATCAATTTCAAATTGTTAGGGATATTTGTTACAATTGTACTAAGAAATTTCCAGTGACCTTTAATCCATTTCAGCGATATAATTGTAAATTCTTTCAATTTATAGTTATTTGTAATCCTGCAAATAGTAGCACTCTCTTTTGAAGTTACAGATACAAAAGTCATATAAGTTATTATCTTATTAATGTTAAATTTTTAGTCTCGGTTACACATTACACTAATTGTATGTGGTACACTGTATTGAACTGAACGGTACAATATTAAATTAAAACAAAGCTTTTAAATCTTGTTTATAATAGTTATTAATCATATTCAATATTGTGTACCAAATATGTCTTGAATATATATGACATTTTTTCATCCTAAGTTCCTAAAAAGTAACAGGTACAGTTCACAACTTTGGCATTGTGTGAATCAAGTCGACTTCCTTCATAAGGGGTGTCCACCGGACAATGTCCAAGTGAATTGGTCTTGATTCTTGACGGATTTTAATTGCACTTAAAGTTCTTAATTTTTGTTCATTATAGTATTTATATCTCTAAAAGTTTTTCATGTCAATCCTTTTTTTATGACCATGGGTGTCCGGACCAGTTTACGCGCACTTCGACTAATCCCTTGAGACCCTGAAGTTTACAGCCGCGTATTCACTTTAGTGACCATGAGGGGATTCGAACTTGTGACTATTGAGAATTTTCATGTCAATCTTATACTCAAACTTGCCATTATTTAACACATTTTGTATTTGAAACTACTTTATGTCCAAAAGTCAATTGAAATAGCCATCATATTATTAAAAAAAATAAAAATAAAACGTCCAAAAAATATTTTTCCCCTGATTTCAAAGAATAAGACAGAATATTTTTAAAATAAATCATCACCAAAGACGAGATATAATAATTAATGGAAGGTTGAAGATAAGAATTCGATGAAAAAAAAGTTAAGAAAATAATCGCTACAATAAACAAAAATTGAAGAGTTTAACCGCAATTAACCACCCTAATATATATTGTCAAGTTGACATGGTCTGCGAAAATTTCTATTCACTAGCGAGAAAACGAAACTATTAAAATTTGCTTTAATTTTGGCAAACGGTTCTGATGACATGGTCAAGTTGACAGGGTTAATGTCTACTTCATGGGATTAAAAACGAGGTTGGTCCTTCAAAAATCAACATTATTAAGATAAGTGCCTGAATGACTTTTATGCTGGCTACAATTTCAATTGCAAGATAGTGGCTCATTTGAAATCACCAATCTTGAAATTCGATTGCTTGTTTGAGCTTTACACGGTTCGCTTTGATATGATATTGAGACTTGAAATTTCATTTTAAAATGCTAACCTTGTTATAAAGAATCACAAGTTTTTATATATGGTTATATATTTGATATTTCTTTAGATGTTGGATCCTTTAACACAACACACAAGACAAAATATCCAAAGTTAAATAACATGAATGTAACTAAATTACAACCTTTACAAAAAAACCAGGCAATACATACCCGTCTAAAGTTCTTCTTTCAGGTATCCAGGACCAGGCTTGAAGGGGTCTGATTCCATGTATGCCTCCGGACGATAAAATCCAGCATCGTTCATACGATTGCTGAGGACGTGAAGGATCGCCTTCTTTGTACCATACTCATCCCGATTGTTCTCAACGTACTGTTTGGCCTCAGCAGCCACTTTGTTCACGTCCATTGTTGAGAGCTTTCCTCCTCCTCTTATCTTCCTTACTTTCTCCTCCAGAAAAGGAATTCTTTGTATCTTGTAGTCCAACATATCATCTTTCTTGACCTGAAACGGATGGCAAAACGAGCCCGTACAGTTTTATACCCATATAATGAGATCTAAAGTCAACTTTAATGGGGAAAAACTTCAAAACAATAGGATCTCTTAAAGGAATTGTTATAAATATTTGAGAGCATGTTCATAATGAAATCCAGGCATTTGGTGATGCTGCAGGTCCACTTTCCACAGCAAAGACCTGAGTTTTGAAATGGTAGATAAAAGGTTTGATTGGGTTCGTGGAACAGAAAAGCGCATTTTCATTTTTTTCCAGCTTGGCGCTTCTTTAAGTAGTCCAAAAATGAGTTTTTGATTTAAAAGTTGTTTGCGTGCTTTGTTAAAGTTGTTGAAGGTTGCTTCCCCCCCCCCCCCACTGAGATATTTCTCTTTTACAGCCAACAGGTATACGCATTTTCTTTTTTTGAGATTTGAAGGTAGTGTTCATCCTTTTCTGCTTTGTTCTTCTGAAATTGGCCTATGATTGTCCAATTCCCTATTATAATACGACTTGTACATCATATCGTACAGGACCCCAAAGCACGAAACCATCAAACAAAGTTCCCCAATTCCCAAACCATTCACGAAATGAGCATTTAAGTAATTAATAATTTGCCATAGTATTCAATACATAAGTTTATCCTTCATCATATTTCTGAAGTTTAGATGGAAACTCTACTAATGCGCTAAGAATGGTCATCTAAAACTCAGCTCCTAGAGTTCATCTGAGAGTTGTCCTATTCCATCCAATGATGATTACGATTTTGCCAAATCAGCGGAGATGCATTCTTTAGTATGATCAAATGCAGGATTCACTGATCATGGATGGATCCTCCTTTTCATGTCCAATCTTCCTATGTCAAGTTTACACCAATGAGGACAAACATTCTCACTCAAATAGTCTCACATTTTAATGGACGGCTTGAAAGAAAAAGCTGTAATCACTTTCATATGAGGAACTACCAAAAAGCTGTCATACTTCTAACATGTAGAGTCAAGGCCAGATTCAGCAATGTATTAAAGCTTGGAAAACATTTTGAAACTATGTTCTAAGGTTTTAACTTATAATATGTTGGAAAAATATAATTATGAGCTAACCCAAAATATTCAACCTGCATGATCACAATTTCTGCACTAATTTTTTTGCTAACAACGTTGACATTGAATTAACTTGGTGTAAGGCGCAGAGAAAAGAGAATGAAAAGGGAAATAAATTCTCTACCATTTTCTCATCAAACAAGACTAGAATTCAAAACAATCAAAAGGTATAAAGGTGAAGAGCGTATATCTCCATATTTCAAAACTTTCTCCCCTTTTGTCATGCTATCATTTACCTCTTAATATAGACACAGAGAAAAGATATCCTTCAACTGAATCTTTTTTCTTTAACTTTTGAACAAAGCAGTAATAAAATCCCTGGAACATAATTTCGCGTTTGGCTAAGCCTTAATAAGATATAAAGTTTTGGCTGATATAAAGTTTTGTGGCCAAATATGTTCGGAAAACTTACTTTTTTCTTTCTTCAAGTTAAAAAGACCTGTTGATACATAAAAATTCAGCCCAAATCGAACAGCCCAAGGAGTAAAGCCCAATTGGAGGATCCCCAAATCAGATAGCCCAAAGAACGAAATCCAATCGAACGAATCAAGGTGAAAGCCCAAATAAGGGGGCCCAAGAATGTGGTAACGCCATCGCCCAAGTTTGCAAGTCGCCCAAAATCTGAACGAATAGGGTGTCATACGGTCGCCCAGAGCTGTTATTCTATTCTCGCCCAAACCTTCAAGTCGCCCAAGGTATCAACAGACATAACGCGTCGTGGTTATCAAGAAATGCAGTTACCAAGGCAGTTGTTAAAGCAGCCCTATCAGGTTCCACGACTCAAGGAATTCAATCGAAAAGCGGTTGAACGATGAAAGGTAATGGCAGCAGTTAAAAGGCAGTTTTCATGACAAAATGGCCACTACGAAGAAAGTGGGTAGTTATAGGACGATCAAGCAGTTTTTAGAGCAGTTAATCACAAAGAGATCGTCAGTGAAGTATAAAAGGGAAAAGGAACATAGAAGCAAGGACCGAATCCAAAACTCTCGAACAGAGAATATGTAATTTTCATTTCCTTAGTTTTTAGACTTAAACACTTTTCTTTCAGTAACTCGTGTGCTTGCGCCCCTTGGAGGTACGTTATTTTTCATTTCCAATTGTAAAGTCATCGCCAATAAAAGAACACCCCTTTTTGGGACTTTGTCTCAAGAGGTTTCGTCTCTTACACAATCGTCTGACCCTTTTTAATTGTTAGCGACTTAACCCTCGCGAAACAATTTGGCACGCCCAGTGGGACAGTGGTGTTAGGTGTTGAAAGTACAAAAGGTGAAACAATATGCCTTAGAGATCCGACAAGGAAGGAGCAAGTCAGGGAGGAGTCCAGTCTGTAATCGAGCGATATGAGGAGCAGCATGCCTCTCCACGAACAGATGGACAAAATCAGAGTAGTAACAGTCGTTACGAACCAATGACGGAGTTGAGTTCTCGAACCATGCGTGCATTGCTTGGAGAACTCACGCAAGACGTCGTTGAACAGGTAAATCTTCAAAGTATTCATAATATGGAAAGATTTACACAAAATGGAAATGCACACTATGACAATATGGCCAAACAGCTAAAGACGTTAAACGAAACAATGAATAAGTTAGTAGGCCAAATATGTCAACCGGCTATACCTCTTACAAACCACTTTCAAGCCAGGACAATTGTGGGACATAATCCGTCTGTCCTAAATCCGAATCAAGGGGTAGAACCGCTTTCTGGTCCCTCTACTTCAAACCAAGGGGGTACTACAGTGTCAAATCAAAACAATGGTAATGGCATGCCTAACTTGGGGGTAGTCCAAACGTGAGAGATAATGTCCTAAACAATGGACAGAATATTCCACGTGGTAATGAGGGAACAGATGTCCAAGCTAATGGTAATGGCCCTAATCATGGTAATTTTGTTGCCAATCAAGGACCAAACATCAGACCTCATGCAAATCAACCGGTTAATCAGCCTGTAGGAATTCCATATGATCCCAATGTCATGTTGAGGAACCAGATTATGGAAATCGTGCAGGATCAGATGGCTTTTGGGGTGCGTCCTGTCATTAGGCCGACGTACACAAAGCCATATCCTGATTGGGTAGACCAAGCATATCCATGGCCTAGAGGGTACAAAGTGCCAGAATTCTCACTGTTTACCGGTTTAGGAGAGGTGTCTACTCTAGAACACATAGGGCGATTCCCGTTGCAAAGTGGTGATGTAACCGATTACCATAAAATGAGACTGTTCCCTAGTTCGTTAACAGGAGTAGCTTTCTCCAGGTTCATCAACTTGCTAGCGAACTCTGTTCAAACATGGCAACAACTGGAACAGTTGTTTCACGCTCAGTTTTATAAAACTGAGTCTGAAGTCACTTTGGCTGATTTGGCGAATCTACGTCAAATGCCAAATGAATGGGCAGAAAGTTTTCTCCAAAGGTTCAAAACAGCAAGAAGCAAGTGTTTTGTACCTCTGCCCGAAAAAGAATTTGTCAAGATCGCACAAGGCTGATTAAGCTTTGATTTAAAAAAGAAGTTTCAGGACAAGAAATTTCCTGACCTTTTCCAGTTCAGTGCGAATATGATTAGGTATGAGTGACTGATAAGAGAAGAAGAACAAATGAAAAATTCTAGCAAAGGGACTTATTACAGAGACCCAAATTTTGACGTTCATACCATCGATGACGAATCATACGATCAGGCCGAAATGTGTTTGGCCGAATTGGTAAAAGGGGATACATATACTTGTCCCATAATGGCCAAGCCTAGACCATCGGGCAAAGATGAACCCATAAAGGATGGAAACATAAAGGCTAGAACGTTCTCGTTCGA